AAAAAAAAAAAAAACTTTTTATATCTATCATCGTTTGCTCATGTAAGTATGATGAGAAAAAGTTAAGAAGGATAATTCAGTCTACTTCAAGTGCCCGTGACCTAGAAATGGCCTCCTTTTCTCCTAAACATTTCTCCCCTTCTCTAAGAAATTAGGTCAAATTCTCAAAATTTAGAGGCCCTGACTGTGATACCCTATAAGCAGATCTACCACTGTCTGCTAGAATACTGACCTGCATAGGCAGATCTACCACTGTCCGCTGGAATACTGACCTGCATAGGCAGATCTACCACTGTCCACTAGAATACTGACCTGCATAGGCAGACACATTTTCATTTAAATCTCACAATGCTGCCAAAACAAGAGTGGCTTTGCAGTCAGACAAACCTGAGGTTTGACCTCAGTCTTTGTAGAGACTAGCTCTATAACCCAGCATGGGTTCCAAAACCTTTTTGAGCTTAAGCTTAGCTGTCTATGTAAAGCTGACATTTCACATACTTAAAAGGATTAAATATAAAGGTATAAAACTGCCTAAGGTTAGGTCTGACATAAAGGAAGTGATTGATAAATTACACTTTTTAATGCTTTTGTGGAATTAAAAGACTGAGCTAATACAAAGCCTAGTTGTAGCTGAGCTTTGGTGAATATACTTTCATCAATCCAATTGTGTAATGAACTGATATTTCTAGTCATGACTGTTCCTAGAAGGCAAAACTGAAGAGTAGGAACTGGATCTTCCACCTGGCCCTGCTTAGGAGCTCTACACAGGGATGATGTCCTGAGTAGCCTAAGTGTCTCATCATGGGCTGCATCCTGAGTCTTGGCCATCCTCATCACTTGCTCAGGTCTTTCCTAGCTCTTGGCTGCTGGCCCCACCGTGGGCTGCCTGCTCTGTTTAATAGCTCTCTGTTAATTTGCTTTCTGCATAAATGTGTAGCCCTTCTGGCAGCCGGTGCTCATCTGACAGATCTCTGAGAAATGCTGTATGGTGGCTGCTGTCAGAGGCTGATGAGAGGGAGCAAACCGTGTGCTTACTGAGCTGGATGCCTTGGCCAATGTTTCCCACTGTGTGCATTACCTTACACATACCTTGCCAATTGAGCAGGACTTGTCATGCATTTCATTTCTGAGCTAAAGTGCTGAGGTACTTTAACAAAGGCCACGTGAATGTTAGAAGCAGCAGAACCAGAGTTCACCCCCGACTCACTGTGTATTCACTCACAATCAGCTCCTGCCTTGCTAAGCTTGATCCTGCTCCTAGGGACTGATGAGTTTCTGCTCCCAGGCAAGTTAGTTGAGAACTAACTTAGCAAGGGTATTAAGAAGCTCAAAGGGACCCCCTGGACTAGTACCCACCTACCCTCTCACTCCCTGCTGACGAGGTACAATGCAGGGCCTCGACTTGCAGAAGAAGATCCAGAGTCCATCATCCACCTATGGAAAAATCCTCCATTGTTTATATCTGTGTAGGTAAAGAGAGAAGAATTTACAAATATTCCATTTTATTAATTATGCATTTTTTAAATTGGTTCATAAAGTCTAAATCTAAGGGTAAAGTGTCTGTGAATTTACTCACAGATTGCCCAATCCAGTGACTCTTCCAAAAATGGAGTAGTGATTCTTCCAATAAAGTTGTGACCCAGAGAATATTGTTAGGTCTCTGTTAGGTCTCCAAACTGATTTGTGTCTTTGGGGCATTATTTTCTAAGTAGTCATTGAAATGCTGTATCTTCATTGAGTTTAGCATGTAACCTCTTGCTTCCTTTCCAAAATCAGGCAAGAAGGGACACTAGTGAGTACCTACAGATGACAGTACAGTGACTCCGTCTCCTACACTTACTGTCTCCACTCCACAGAAGCAGATGCACCGGAGGGTTTTTATCGTCTGCTTTTCTTCTTTAGTGTAAAGTCTCAAGACGTTTTAATTCCCCTCCTCACTATGTTTCAACCCAAACTTAAGTTTATTAAGATTCCTAATATAAAATTTTAGATCATATATCTAAATGTTGTTCTCTTTTGTATTAACTCTTAAGTAGTGGAACAAAACAGTTGGCAGAGATTGTATTTCTAGAAGATTTGAGGGTTCCTGTTTCAAATTTGAAGACTTCTGGAAGAGCCTTTAAAGTGAGAGCCTAAGACTGGACCTCACTCTTTAAGAAGAGCTGGGAATGCTCCCCTTATTTTGTGCTCAATTTCCCATGCTTATCACATACTGGAGACCTTTGGAATTTGGGCAGATTTCCAAAGCCAGGACTAAACAAGCAAACAACAAAAGTTATTGTTACATTGAACTGTACCTAGGCCTACATGAGTCTGACTTGCCTTAAATGGTTTTCCCATGTTGCTTTAGTATAATCAGGTGGAGAAACGAGACAATGTAATTACTATGTTGACAAGTATTTTAAAATCCCCAAATAAAATGACCATAATACGAGAGAGGAGTCTATTTTTGCCACAGTGGGTTGGACTGATGGAAGAGGAAGATGTGGCTCCTATTAATCAAAGGGTCCTGTAATCAGTCCTTCAGGGCTACCAGGCCCAGTGGGGGATGGGGAAAGACTCATTCACTCACCTTCTGGCTGCAGGAACTGCAGACCGCCACTGTGGCAGTTCTAGAACCGAGGAGAAAACACCCACGGGAGCAAAGAAGGCCATGTCTCACTTCCAGATGAAGAAAAGACATTCCTCCATGCTTCCGTAGCCCACAGACTGCTGTTCTTTGAGGCCAGCCCCTCACAGCTTTCCTCTCTGTACAGTGGAGTTCTAAATCTAGCACACTGCTAACAATCCTTTCCATGCAGAGGTCCTGGGAGACATGTGGACTCTGGTATCAAACAATGCAACTCATGTTTGATTTTGGATAACCTTACATGTTGAATAAAATAACCCTTGAGAAAGAAGCAATAAAAGCACTGTAAGAAAAATGACTCATGTTTCTAAGATGTCTAAAGTGATCACTCATCCCAACAAATGGTAATTCTTTCAAGACACAGTGGGCATGTACCACACTTATAAAAGTCTGGAAGAAAAGCCTTGCATTTTTTAAATTGTGTTAAAATATATCAAAAGAATGTTTCTGGTAGGCTGTTCCAGACAGTGTGCTTAAAAACAGAAACAAAATAAAAAAGTCCCATGGACATACAAGTGAAGGTGGATTGGCCAGAGGGATCCTTGCTAACCAGTCAGGCATCTCAGCTTGTTTATGTGACTCTAATTGTTTTCAATTTCTGCCTCTATTTGTTAGAGTGCAAAGATGTGAACAAAGTGGCTTATTGCCCACTGGTGCTGAAGTTCAAGTTCTGCAGTCGAGCATACTTCAGACAGATGTGCTGTAAGACCTGCCAAGGACATTGACCCACGGAAAGCCAGCGAGTCCTGCCATTTCATCGTGGAAATGCGTCCATCAAAGGGAGCCACCCAGAGGATGAGGATTGATGTCCTTACAGAAGCATTACCCTGTGGAAAATGTAACCACTGGTCAGCCCCAGCTGACAGGATTTCAATATTATTTTAACTTCTGTGAAGTGGGATTTATTGATCCAAAGTGCTGGACACGGTATTAGGAGGGAATGCCAGATTTGAGAGATCCAAACAACGCAGGGAGACTCGCTTACTGTGGAACGTTTGTGTTCTTTCGAGTAAATCTAATAGCCTGTTTACCTCCTTGGACCATTAAGATAATTTTTATTATGGCCTTAGCAATGACACTGAATCCATTTGTATTTAAGACTGTTTAAAATGTAGTTATTATGACTTGGTCAACTATGGAAGTAGAGGAGATTCAGAATTACGAAGTCATAGCTTAAAATATTTCCTATACTTTATCTCACCACAGTAGCAGCACAATTTAAATTATAAAATGGGCTTGGAACTGTAATTTAAGAAACAGTTATAAATCAAAAATAATGAAAGTTTGTATTATTTTTCTTTATCACACTTGATTTCCTTAGGACTAACCCCCTGTTCTGAACACTGCTGTGAGCCATGTATAAAGCTCTATTAAACTGAACAGCGAGGGACTTGGGTTGAAGCCGTGCAGCCATCCGCTGCAGCTGTGCGAGTCTATAAATTCAGTGCTAAGAGACTGTGGCCAACTTGCCATTGTGCGAGGGAAGCTGAGATTTCCATTAAAACTTTAAGAGAAAACCATTTCCATTTCATGCCGAAGCCAGACCTAGGGTATGGCAGAGACTGAAGTACCAGGCCCATCCCAGCCATCCCACAGGATGCCTTGCTTCTTGTTTGAGTCACCTGACTCCTTAGTGTTTACATCCCCAGCCACAGATCAGCTCTGCCCGGTTGGACTGGTGCACGCATGCTAAGCTTATGGAGATGATGCCATGCAAAAGACAGGCTGGCTTAGGAAAGCCAGGCGGGCCCTTTTGCAATTTGCTGACAATACGATGGGTTCCAGATGTCCCTTCTTTGATATGGTAGAAGGGCATTTATTTATATGAGAGCAAGTGTGTGTGTGTGTGTGTGTGTGTGTGTGTGTGTGTGTGTGCAGGTGCTCCTGAATGTGGGGACAGATGAGTTTGCTTGCATATAAATGTGCTATTTCTGTGAGTTTTAAAGTAGGGAAGGATAAGAGCCAAAGAAGGAAAGCTCATGAAGGGAGATCACAAAGCAGAAATTTAATAGTCACCCAACCAAGTAACGGTTATGGATATTCTAAATGGCAATTAAATGTGAAAGCTGGTTTCCTGGGCAAGTCAAGTTCTAAGATCACTTCTGACTGAATTGAGGAGACTAGCTTAGGTCTCCGTCTCTCAGCTTCACAACTTTCAGGCAAAAGACTCTACAGCTAGATTTTTTTTTAAGGGTACTTGTTTATATTGATACTTTGTACTTGAACACTTGTAGCTTGTAGTAGGTCTTTGGTGACTGTGCTTTGTGTCTAGCACACCTCCTTAGTCCTTCACATATGTGCACATATATGCACATATGTGCCCCATGCATACACCATCATCTGAAACACAAACTAAATGGCTACTTTGTAACAAAGAGAATCTTTTCATTCAAGAGGATGTCTCACTTATACCTACCATTGTGCTCTGAAATTACACTTGGGTGGGTGACCTTAGAAGAAACACAGTCACCGAATGCCTCCTCAGCTTCTGGCTTGCTGTGTACAGCTGCCCGGGATGTTACCCCACACTCCAGAGTCACCAGCCACATACCGTCCCCTGCTTCTCTCTCAATACCATCCCCAAGTTTTCCAGAGGAGGCTTTTAATAAAACAAAAACTATTGCCAAGACCTCCATCTAACTGCCCCGAGAAGACCAGCCCAAGTGTCATGTAGCCATTCCATTAAAGGAAGGCCCATGGAAGCCTGGCCTAGACTTGAATTCCCTTGGTCCTACTCAAGGGACAGTTAACTTGGTGCTAATGTGCCCTGGTGAAATAAGGAAGACTCGGTGATTCCCGGGACAGTTTAGACATAGGTTTGCTGTCCAGATCTGATTGTTACCAACATAAATATTCGCTCATGCTTTTATTTCAAGAAGACTTCTTACAGTACTTGTAAGAAACTGTATTTACCTCACTGGGAAGCTAACATCACAAGGGCTGTCCCCCGGATACTGTGCAGGGCCTGTCTCGGCTGCTGCTGAGGGTCGAGAGATCAGCCCCTGTTCCCTCCAGGACGTGCGCCGCCGGCACCGAGGGCGGGCACCTGCCGGGATGCAGCGCAGCCTTCCGCAGGGGAGCAAAGCGTGCATGTATCAGGATCCAGTGTTTTCCATTAGACCCTGAATTTAAATATGAGCAGGTTAAACAAAACAAAAAGCGTCTTCCATAACGCATCCCGACACCGATGCTGCTGCTGCAGCCACCTTTGGCTGCACGAATCTCTGTTCTCCATGGTAACAGAAGGATCTCAGCGGAGGCTGGCCCGCTCCGGCAGGCGCTCCAAAAGTTGTGAGCTATATTGACTACTTAGGGTACAAGAGTAGCCATGGTCGGGAGCAGTGCCCGCCACTGGTAAAAGGCCCTACCCCAAAAAGAACGTGAAATGTACCCAAGTGATTAAACCCCTAAAGACAGGTATGGTTTCCCAATAGTCCATTTCATTAGGCATTTATGTATTTGAGTGAATGTCTCATAGGTATCCTTAATAATACAGAACAAAATTACCTTTGTATTATTGTGATTAGTTGTTGCTTATTATTTTATACTCAGTATTAATGTGGTACACTGTTACTTTTTTGCTTTTGTAAATTATATTCTAATTTATTGCCATGTTTCCTAACACCTGTCCTTTATTCATTCCCTGCTTGTAATGAAAATGAAAGTCATTTTACACTTGATGGAGTGAAATTTCATACCAGGCACAGATTTTTTTTTAACATAGATAATTCAGTAAATAATAAAATTTCAGCTTGTAAAAGTGACGCAGATGAAATTGTCCATTTCCTGAAAAGCTTGTGTTCAACTTGAAGCAGAAAGTGCCCGTCCCTTCGGGTACCATCCCTAGTCTAAGTTTGCCCCGGCAGTGCTGTGATGGAGGTGTTTACGGTAATCTTATCACATCCTCAGGTATTGCGTCATCGCATCTGTTGAGTGTGTTAACGCTAAGGCTGCAGGATTTCCCCTGGGCCACCCAGCAGCCCATTCTTCTAAAGCTAGATAGGAATCCATGGCCACTGCCACACACCTTCATCCAGTGCTCATTTTCCCTCTTTCTTTCCTCCCCTATAAATTATTTGTGTTATTAAAGATACAAGATGCTTCACTGTGTACTAAGAGTACTAAGCAATGAACTCATACTTTGAAGGAGTTTTCTATGATGAGGCCATCGGGCGCAGAGAAACATGGTAGGCACACCTTTTCATCTTCATTTCCTTAGGCTGACAGTAATACAGAAACGTGTGTAACGTTTTCATAATAATAACCTCATCTGTTAACTAAGAAGATGTGAATTTTTTAACATAATGGTATTTTTACTCTACCATCCCATGTCCCATACATACACATGCAATATTGCACATTAAAATTTAATTGGGCCAGGCATGGTAGTATATAGCTATTATCACAGCACTTAGTAGGTTGAGGCATGGAGCTAGCCTTTTCTATGTATGTATCAAGACCCTGTCTCAAAATAACAGTCAGTCAATCAGTCATCAATCAATGGGTAAGAGTGAGCCAAATGAACTGATTATACAATCTTGGGAGAGTGTTTCCCCTAGGCTCTCCTGGGCCCCAAATGTGATAACACTATAAACATTCAATTAATGGAGAGCTTATGGGAACCAGCCATTTGACCACACACTGCATTTGTAAAGCCCGTCCGTGTCTGCTAAGGCTGGGAGAAGAGACACCAAAGAAGGGAATCTGCATCAACTTAAACTCCTGGGACTGTAACAGATCTATTTTTGTGCTTTGCTTTCAAGCATCCAGTGAGATGCTTGCTTTCCTTCTGATGCATCTGTAGGATGCTACCCTGACTCTCAGCAGATTCTCCTACTCCCTAGGGAGCACTCGTCCAACCCCTAAGCCATTCTAGGCCAAAAGGCAGGGTATTTGCCCAAGTAAATTAAGAACAAAGTTACATACTGACCTGGGTAACAAAAATGTGAATTTGAATGGCTGGCATACAATTAATTCTTTTAAAGGAAGGAAAAAGGAATGTAATTCAGAGAGAGAGGGAAAAAACCTTAGCCTGGGAGAATTGGAAATTCTAAATAAGTGGTCACAGTCCAGACACAGAATCAGTCCTGGATAAAGAGGAGCAGATAATCTGCACTTGGAATTTTAATTTGTGTCATGGGAACTCGTGTAATCATTGGAATAACCCAGCGCAGGGCTTCAAAAGAACAGTTGCTCAAAGGAGTTCTGTGCTTCAGATTTCGAGACTCAAGCTCAAAAGCGAAGTGGTCTTGTCTCTTCTCTTTCTCAAAGGGTTACTTTACACGTCTATGTCCTTCATTTCTTCCGTAGACAGTATCTGAGGCTGGAACTGGAGCTGTGGCAAGTGAGGGAAGCCACTACTATACCTTTGCTGACTCTTGGTTCACGCCTTCCCTTTGCCTGTTGAGAGCCATGACCTACATAAGTAAGGAGGCTGGTTTTCACCACAGTGTCCTGTTTTCATCAAAATAACGTGAGGCCCTGCACTGCCTGGTGTCTTTGGTTCTGAACACTGAGGAACCTGAATCTTGTTTTTCACCTCAAGGGTACAGAGAATCGTGTCTGACCAGATAGATCTCATTATCTGGTCCTTATTACTTGTGAAAACTAATCCTCTCGGGTCTTGAACTGGATCTCTCTGGTGCTAGTCAGCTGTAAAAGTACACACAAGAAACAACTTAAAAGAAAGAAGGACTTGTCTTGGCTCACGGTCTCAGTCCAGGACTGACTGACCCCCACTGATTTCAGGCTTGTCTCCGGGGAAAGCGACAAGCTGGGAAGGCCTGGGTAGAGGAAAGAGCTGCTCACTCCAGGCAGCCAGGAGGCAGTCAGAGGGACACTCCCAGCCTGTGCCCCAGCAAGTGTGGTTGTGGGTGCAGGTAACCTTATGAGTTCACACTACTGTGCGTACAGTAAATTGCTGTTGGGGCCACTGAAATCCCAAGCAAAGACAGCGATAGGGAACGTCAGCCTACAGCCACCCCAGGAGTGAAAGCGATCAGTCACCCCTTCATCTGATTCAGTTACTTAACAACTGTAC